TGGTGGTAGACTCCAGTGCAGGGAAAGCGGGACTCAGGTCTACCACAGCCTTACTTTCTAGCCCAGATTTCCAGGTTCAAGCCCAGCAAATGTCTGCAGTTCTCTCTAGGTCCACTCCACCAGATCCTCACTGCACTGGGTCGTTTGACTGAGACCTCCAAGCTCCCACGCCAGGCCTTAAGGCTAGACCCGAGCAGAGGTTCTCTGTTCATCAGCCTGTGGCCCAACTGCATTGTCATCTCCAGCTCACGTCCTAACTCATGCTGGTTTCTTTTTACTTTTTAATTAGCATATACTAATTCTAAAACAAAATGTGTGGTGATACATTGGTTTTTGTTATGACATTTTCCCACATGGTTATGATGTGTTTTGTTCATATTTACCCCCCCCCCCCCATTAACCTCTCTTGATTACCTTCCTCCTAGCCAGGTTCTCTTCCTTCCTCTCCTGAAATAGCTCCCCCTCCACTTCAATGTATATTTTATTTAATCTGCACTACACATAGGGATCATCTCAGGCCCTTGTGCATGTTGGGCACACACTTTAACCTGACCTACACCCCTGTTCCCGTGTATTCTTCTGTGCATCTTTGCTTACATGAGACTCTAAAACAGAGGTTCTCAACCTATGGATCACAACCCCTTTTGGGGGGGTCAAATGACTCTCTCATGGGGTCACCTAAAACCATCAGAAAACACGGATATTTATGTTATGATTCATAACCATAGCAAAATGACAGTTATGAAGTAACAACAAAAGTAATTTTATGGCTAGGGGAGTGGGGTCACCACAACATGAGGAACTGTATTTTTAAAGGGTCACAGCATTAGGAAGGTTGAGAACCACTGCTCTTAAAAGGAGGTGGTTTTGAAGAAAAACTGGTTCAAACTCACTAAACCTATTTATTGGCCCACATTCTCTTGATTGGGCATCCCAGACAGGGTAGAGACAGCCCCACTGTTTCTTTGTCTGACGAGATGGATTTTGTTTTGGATGGCCGCATCCCTCCGTGAGGCTGAAACATTTTCTCTTTCTGATAATTGTAATTTCAATGCATAAAATCCCCTCATTAACATTAAAGAATAACATGGCTCCCATAGTGAGGGTCACAGCCACACACAGGTCCTGTCTTCTCTTGGTCTTACCACCTTCCTTCCAGTTATCCTTGAGTTAAACCCACATCTAACACCAATCACCTGGCAGGAATTCGGGAGTTTCATGTAAAAGCTGGAAATACTTGAGGGCCTGACTCAGCCACAATGAGCAGTGCTAGTTGCTCCAAGGCTGTGAGTCAGCGGTGGGAGAGGGGTGAGAGAGAGGAGTGACGTGTCCATCGTTGTTCCCTTCGGTCTGACCCAGATCTGCCAGCTGCCACTTTCGTATTTCTGAATATCGTCAGGAATGCCTGGTGAAGCTTACTCTCACCATCAAAAGGGTTTCATAAGCACTATCCCAGTGTCTTGTGTAAGTTTCAGCCAAATGAGGCTCGCTAATCGCAAAGGAAGCTCATGTGAGCTTATCTAGCTGCAGGTGGACATGCTTACAAACCAGTGAATTCACCGAGGCATGGGACTATTCTGACATCCATCGTAATGCCCCACACGTCAGCTGCCACGGTTCTCATTCACCATCTTTACATTTTGTTTTCTTCCTCAGCAGATTAGCCTCTGAGAGAACAGATGTGTGTTTCAATCACAACTATGCCTGACAAAAGCCAACAAAATGCCTGTCCTGTGGCAGACACTTAACAAGTGTATGATGACTGAATGAGAGAAACAGATCGATGGACAGTCAAATGGATGAATGGTGAATAGGTGGATGGATGGATGGTTGAACAGACAGATGAACAGATAAATGGGTGGATTAGAAGGTGATTTGAGAGAAAGATAGATGGATAAATGGACCTAATATTCATATTGTGGTCTTGTATTTATTTTTACATAGGAAAGACACTGGGAATTCTATGTTGACATAATGTAAAATTGTAGAGAAATTGCATTTCCTCCTACTTGAAAAAAAAAAGCCTAGGGTCATGTGTGATGGCTCACACCTTTAGTCCCAGCACTTAAGGGGCAGAGGTAAGGTGGATCTCTGTGAGTTTGAAGCAAGTCTAGTCTATAAAGAGAGTTCCAAGCCAGCCAGAGCTCCGTAATGAGACCCTGTCTCAAAAAGAAAAAAGGCTGCAGTAACGATTCTTAAGACATCCCCAAATGCAGACAACCATAGTTTTCTGGTTAAATTCCTTTTCTGACATTCGGTGAATTTTCACTTCAGATGTTTCCTTCTGTCTTGTTTTATTCTAGGGATTAATTCACAGTTCATGTATTATTTCTTTGTTTTCATTGATAGAATGGTCCAGAATCTGTATGTATTGCTTTGTGTTTCTTGTGGCCGTGGCTAAGTACCCAACAAAATGGCAAAGCAAGAGGCTTTGTTTTGGCTCGCAGTTCCGAGTAACACATTCCCTCACTGAGGGGAAGGCACAGTGGCGGGATGCTTGTCTTTGGTGCTGGCCAGGAAGCAGAGAATGGGGACCGCCAAATGCTCAGCTGGCTTTCTGCTTTCCCCCTCTTTATTCAGCCCAAGACCCCATCCCAGGAGATGGTGCCACCACATGGGGGGGGTTCCCCTCCTCAGTCAGTGGTTCTGGGAACACATTTGTAGATTGTGGGAGCCCACAGAGGCTTCCTAGTGAGAACTTACTCAGGGTCAGAGAATCTGGGTTTGCTTTACCCAGCAGGGCTGCATAAGGAGGTGATTTGGTCATGGGCGTAGTTACCAGGTGTTTGGAAGGGTCTATACTTGGCTGTACAGTGTGCTTTGATCTTGCAAGGGGGAGGTCTTTTGCCTCTCCCCTTGGCATATTATAAAAAGCCCTTTTGAATAAACTTCAAGGCTGTTGGGTATTGACCCAGGCCCTCCTGAAGCTGTCCTGTGTTTCTGTCTTTCTTCTCGTCGGCTAGGTCTCTCTTTCTATCATTTCTTAATTCCCCTCTCCCCCACCTAAGAACCCTTCAAAAGGTGGGAGCAGGTGGGAGCTGGTCTCCCACAGACTCCCACAATAGATGCACCCAAAGGTGTGCTCCTTAATGGCCCAGGTGTTCCTAAAGCCAACCAGGTTGACAATCCAAGTTCACCCTCATGAGCCCAGCCTCCTCAACTTGATACCAAATCCTAGCGCCCTTGGCCCCACAGGCTCATGGCTGTCTCATAATGCAAAACGCATTCAGTCCAACTTCAACAGCCTCTGTAACCTTCGGAGTTTCAAGTTCAAAACTTTAGTCTTTTCTAAGACCTCAAGGCAATCTCTCTCTCTGTCTCTCTCTGTCTCTCTCTGTCTGTCTGTCTCTTTCTCTCTCTCTCTGTCTCTCTCTCTGTCTCTCTCTCTCTGTCTCTCTCTCTCTGTCTCTCTCTCTCTCTGTCTCTCTCTCTCTCTCTCTCTCTCTCTCTCTCTCTCTCTCTCTCTTTGGTTTTCCAGAGTTTCTCTGTGTAGCTTTAGAGCCTATCCTGGAACTCACTCTGTAGACCAGGCTGGCCTCGAACTCACAGAGATCTGCCTGCCTCTGCCTCCCAAGTGCTGGGATTAAAGGCATGCGCCACCACGCCCAGCCTCAAGGCAATCTCTTAACTGTGAGTGAGCCCTTATAAAATAAAAGGCAAATTACAACTACACACACACACACACACACACACACACACACACACACACACACGTCTTTCTCCAGATATAGCTACATTAGAGGCTAACACTCCAGTATATGAAGTGGGGGACACAGCTCAGTCCACAATACATCTCCAAAATGGAACTCCTAAAACTCTTCAAATTCTCCATTTTCTAGCATTTGCGAGCTACTTATGTGCAGAGTTCCTCCATCTGTATCTCTGGGTTGAATGGAACCTATATCCCATGAGCCATCTGGAATGTCCAAAGTAAAATCGATGTTTTGATAACAATTCTCGCTAAAGGATGAAGGGTGTGTGCCTCCCTGAAGGGCTGGTATCCAGGCTTTCAGTCTGTCCACTGCATTTGGGGAGAGAATAGAGTACTGTGTGGAAACATTATCAGATACATATCAAATACTCTGTCCAGGTTTTCATGACTCAGACAGGAGAACAGAATGACACCATGACACAAACCTTTAGAAGAGAGCCCTCAGGGTTTTTGGGAGGCTGGGCAGGGATGGAGTCTTCTTGGATGCAGTGAAAGCCATTGCTGGCCCAGTCCCTGAGTGTCCACCTGATGATGGCTCCCTGCTTTGAGGGGAGAGAGCCTTGCACTCTGGGGCAAAGAGGAGGAGGATGACTTGGGTGGACAGAGCTCGCCAGCCATGCCTGCCCTCAGCTCAGCCACAGCCCTGGGCAGACATGGAAGAAGATGCTCTCCTCTCTCACACCTAGAGAAGGCACATTTCCCGAAGCAAGCAGGAGGCCCTGCACCCTACTTTATCTTATGCCCATAATTAAAGGGAAAACACACCATGCCACTCAATAGGCCTATATCTGTTCTCTGCTGTCTAATGTCTCTTAAACACACAGCCCAACGAGCATGGCAAAGTGAAGCTTACCAGTTTACTATCAACCCCCAGTTCCCTTGTTCCGTGACAGTGCTCTGTCACCTCCATCACGTAGTGACATTATCCTATCTGGGTTGCTAATGTAAAACACCCGAATCAGAAAGTAGTAAAGATCCCTTTTTCACAGTGGTTTTTCCTTTCCCACAGGAGTGAAGTTGTAGCCTTGATGGTATCATACCCTTGCTTCTGAAGGGAATAAAAATTTTAAAATTAAAATGCGAGGTTGTCCCAGATACAGAAATAGATTAAAAAAAAAATCTCAAGCACATGACAATCACCATATGTGGATAGGACCTTGGAGGACGGGGTTTTTTGATAAAGACTTATACCTTAAACAAATAAGCTTGCTGCAGAAGAAATTCCGTTCTTGGGTTGGGAGAGAGGTCTCTTAGTCACGTGATTTCTCTGTTGTCTGTTCTTCCGCAGTGGTGATGTGGTCACCTTTGGAAAATCTACTGATTATAACAACGTTATCAAACAGGAAGAAAGAGTGAGTATGCTATAAAATAGATGTGTTTTAATAGACCCCCTTGTATCTGGGAGCTACAGCTGTTTCTTGTGTGTGGTGTTCTGGACAACCCTTAACCCACCATTGGTCTCACTGTTGAGTGTCCAGCATACATTATACTCAGCTAAGACAGACCTGGCCCCTGTCTCAGAGGGACCACACTGCCCAGCTGTGGTCACTGTTGAGCTGTGCTTCTTGAGGTACAATTCTAAAGGATGCATAGTGGCTAGTGATGAATTTCCTGCAATGTGCCTCTGCAGTATTCTTCCAACTCTTAGAATCGGGACGTCCGAACTATTAATAGCTAATCTGTGACACTGAGTTGAGCCTTGCTTTAGTTGGCCAAGACATCATGAGAGCACTTTGATTGTGTATGCTCAGTTTGCTAAAGCAAATTACTCTAAACTGAGCAGTTTAAACACACTGATTTCTCGTGGTTCTGGGTGCGGCTGGCCAGGTCTCTGTGCTGAGCTGCAAGCAGCAGGCTGCCCTTCCTGACCTTGGGTGGTGACCTTCTCTGAACTCTTGCTTGTGAGTGATCCAGTTCATGAAGGTCCCACCCTCCTGACCTAATCACCTCCCAACGTCCCACTTCTAAATTCTAGCACAGTTTAATTAAGACATCAGCAGAGGGATTTGGAAGGACACAAACGTTGTCCCTAATCGATACACTCTCACTAAGAGTCACTTTTTTTAAACACCTATTTTGTGACTAGTACTGTTGAGGGCTGCATGGGATGTAACCCACAAGTTATAAAGACAAAATCCCAGGGCCTTGTGCTTGAGAAGCACTGTCTGTGGGCAGGGAGCTACGGTTGACATGGGGTCACTGGGACAGTGCTGAATGGCAGTGAGTCTGGAAAGGCAGGAGAGGCTGAGGTGGATCAGAGTGGTTATGAATGAGGGCTGAGGTGGGTCAGAGTGGTTATGAATGAGGGCTGAGGTGGGTCAGAGTGGTTATGAATGAGGGCTGAGGTGGGTCAGAGTGGTTATGAATGAGGGCTGAGGTGGGACAGAGTGGTTATGAATGAGGGCTGAGGTGGGTCAGAGTGGTTATGAATGAGGGCTGAGGTGGGTCAGAGTGGTTATGAATGAGGGCTGACCCGCGCTCATGGATCCCCTGATTACACCGGTAGTCTTAGTTCCTGGACTGCTGAGGGATTCACCCCGGGGACACAGGTAGATGGAGCAGGCCGTCAAGGGGGATGCCCAGCAGCTGGGTAAGCAGCAACTGAGCCCGCCCCCCACGTGAGAGCACACTGAGACGTATCTGGACTCCCTAGTCTTGGTGTGTGGGCGCTTTCTCCTCCCCTCATGGAACAGGCAGAAGCTTTCTTAAGAGCCAAGCCGTCCTTACCCACAATTCAGTTAGGTGCAAGAATATATTTTTTTTTAAAATGTAACTGTCCCAGGCCTGGAGAGGTGGCTCAGTGGTTAAGAGCGCTGCTGCTTCTCTGGAGGTCCCAGGTTCAGTTCCCAGCACCCACATGGCAGCTCACAACTGCCTGTCATTCCCGTTCCAGGGGATCCATGGCACCGGGCATGCATGTGGTGCACGTATCAGTGCGTGCAGGCAAAATACCCAAACACATAAGACAAAATAAAGAAGCCATGTTTCAAAAAGTGTGACTACTCATAAAACTGAGAAGTTATGGGAAAGGGCAAGGTGCCGTGTGGAGCTGGTGGTGTATGCGCGGCAGGGGTGGGCATCACCAGAGACAGACAACTTGTTTCAGTGGGTTCCTGTCCTTCCTCTTACCCGGCCAGCTTGGCCATTTCACACCCGGCTGCAAGCCCTCTTGTTCATCTCCCTTCTGTATCCCCCCCCCCCTCCTGCCTCACTGCTCTAGCCCTGACGTTCATTTTAGCCATGAGGAACGACTAGGGAGAGCCTCACAGAAGACGAGGGGGCGGGGGGATTGCTGTAACAAATGAACACGAAGCGAGTGGCTTTGAACAACACAAAACGGTTCTCTGGTGTTCTGGAGGGCATGAGTCCCCCATCAGTTCTCACCAGGCTAAGGTGACTGTGTCTGTAGAGCTCTGCTCTAACTGCAGGCTCCGGGGAATCAGTTTCTTGCCTTCCAGCTTCTCAAGGCCACCTATGTCCCTGGTCCCTCGTGCCATGTAAAGCAGCAGAGTCACAGGATCTGGAGATTGGAGCATCTTGGGGCACCAGAGCTCTGCCTCTTAACTACCACATAGCTGATTCTGAAGGGATTTCCAGAATCCTTGTTGGGAGGGTATTCATCTTGGGGTGTAGCTTACATTAGACCTGGGGTGGGTAGTTCTAACAGTCTGGAGGCGGTGAGGAATGGAATGGCCTTGTGCTTTGGGCGAGGAAGGTGGAGAGAAGCCAAATGTGAAGAGCTTGCTAACACCAGGCTGAGGAATTTGGATTTCATTCAAGATGGTGTGGGGCACTATCAAAGCATCTTCAAAAAGAGAACAGGAGATGGGGGGGGGGTGATCAAAGATACAGAAAGAAAAAAGGCAAGAGAACTGATGAAGTAACTCAGGAAAGGCAGAACATGTCTGGGGGCCACGGCAAGAGTAAGAAGGCACCCCCATGGTGACCTCAGGGTTAGCGCATAAGCATTGTACTGGCCAGCTTTCTGTCACTGTAACAAAAGACCTGCTCTGATCAACTTAAAAACCAAAGAGGTTTACTTTGGTTCGCACTTTGGGAAGTTTTATAAACTATTATGGGTTAGCCCCAAATCTTCTGGGGCTGAGGTGAAGCATGTCATGGTGGGGTGTGTGTGCTGAAGCAAAGCTATTCACCTTACAGCTGTGACATGAAAAGGGGGAGGAAGAGGAAGAGACCCAAGTGTCCTACCCTTCAGGCACCCATGAGTTTTCCTTTGGATGTCTCATAACGAAGTACTTTTGTATTCTTACAACCATCATACTGTATCTGTATATAATCTATTATTTGAGAATTTCATGTATACACACATTATATTTTCATCATCTCTGCCTCACCCCCTTTCAGCAGCTCCCTCCAGATAGCCTCCCGACACACCCCTTCCAAACTTCAGGTCCTCTCCAGTCCAGTTTGTTCTGCCCATATGCACGCAGGTTGGGGGGCCACTCCCCGTAACATGGGCAACCTGCCCGTGGCCACATCCCCAAGGAAAAGCGACTCTTCCTCCTCTAGCAGGCCATCAGCTGCCAGTGGCTCCTTAGCTAGGGCCTTGCGAGCCCCTCCCCATCCGTGCTGGACTCTAGGGTAGCTTCATCTTGTGTGGGTGTATGCAGGTATCCACAGCTGCTGTGAAATCATGCGTGCAGTAGAAATGTCACGGCCAGGAGACAGCATTGCATGGCGCTCCTCCCCACCCTCTGGCTCTCATGTCCTCTCCACACCCTGAGCCTGCCCGAGGAGTGGTGGATACAGGGGTCCAAGCTAGGACTGAGAATCCTTCAGTGCCTGATACTCCATCCTAACGTGACTTCTGGGTGATGGCGGAACAGTGATTTGTTATGTTGAAATAGAGAACTTCAGTGGTTTCAGCATAGAAAGAAAAAGGGGGGAAAAAAGAAGGATGGAAGGAAGGGAAAGGAAAGGAGAGGGAGAGGGAGAGAGAGAGAGAGAGAGAGAGAGAGAGAGAGAGAGAGAGAGAGAGAGAGAAAGTCTGGCTCGAGAGGCGGGGGTGGCTTGGTGAGTAAGAGTGCTTGATGAAGATCTGATATTGGATCCCAAACACCTAGAGAAACAGCCAGGCACAGCTGCTCATGCCTATAAACCCAGCATTAAGGAGCAGAGACAGGTGGATCCGGTTGGCTCAGTGGCCAGCAAGCCTAGACAAAACATCGGGTTTCCAGTCCAACAGCAATGGAGGAAGGGGCCGGGCACCCTGCTCTGGCCTCTACACGGGAGCACATGTGTATGCACACCCATACACCTACCGGCCTAGATTTATAGTTCTCAACCTAAGTGTGCTAGAAATGTGGTTGAAATGCTAGATTTCTGGCCTCCTCTGAATCACCCCTGGGGACTGGGACTGTGGATCCTTATTACCAAGGTGTGGTTTCAGGACCACACTTTGAGAAACATGGCTTTGGGAACAGCAGTAGCAGCCAGAGAGAAGCTTTATCCGGGTCAGTCTGAGCTCTGGAGCAGATGGAGGGTGTAAGTGAGGTTTTCCCTGTGAGAAGCTGCCCCAGAGCTGGAACTGAGCTCCCTGGGTCCTAAGAGAAGCACCGATAGTCAGGCTAGGCTTTGTGAAACAGACCCTTCCCGATGGTCAATCTCACCATCCCCCACAGACCGGAGAACAGTGTACACTGGGACCGGGGCGCAGGCAGCATCCGAAGAAAGAAGCCTTGAGTGTCACCACTCTACATTACTGCCCTGTGTGTGTGTGTGTGTGTCTAGATGCTGATGTCCCCACTGCTTTCCAAGAGGACTCCAGAGGGGGTGTTGATGCAGGACGTTGGAAACACTGAACTCACAGAATGCGTTTCCCGAAGTGCAGGGTCACCTGCTTTTTACCAGATGTTCAAAGTAATTCAGGAGCGCTGACCATTGGGTGGTATCTCCAACTCCCTGGTCCTCAGTGTGACACTCAGTAGTAACGAGGGGTGTCACACAGGGGAAGTGACGCCCCCAGGGAGTGTTTGCTGTTGTGTGTGACTGCCCTGAAGAAGAGTGCCCAGGAGTTCAAAGGAGCTGCTGACCCTCAGGAGCCTGATAGACAGCAACATACCAAACCCCTCAGAGAGCAGCAAGTAGCTGAGTTCGGCCATGTGCATGTAGGACCTGAGGAAGCCAGGGGTGGGATGTGAAACCCTGACCCGAAAGCTGCCAGAATTCCAAGTCCAGAACTGAGCACAGCCTTAAGATGGAGAGAGAGATGAAAAGCCTCAATTCTGTGTGGTTGGCTTTGCATCCAAGTTCAATTAGTGGAACTCACTTCAGCCCATTCTATTATAAGGAAAGCTTTCAGAAATCCCAAAGAAATCATTTTAAATAAAATTGGTGTCTTTCGCCCAGGAGCAGATCCACCCCCTGCCCGGATGTCAGCATTGTGAGGACAGCCCATGTGCTTTCTTATTTTTGGCAGGGGGGTTGGTTTTTTTTTTTGAGACAGGGTTTCTCTGTGTAGCTTTGGTGCCTGTCCTGGATCTCACTCTGTAGCCCAGGCTGGCCTTGAACTCACAGAGATCCGCCTGGTCTGCCTCCTGAGTGCTGGGATTAAAGGCGTGTGCCACCGCCGCCCAGCAGCCCGTGTGCTTTCTATCACTGCCCTTTCCCCGTTCCTTCTAGCCTGAAATTTGTTCTTCCAAAGTGAAGCCCATGACAGTCATTTTCCTGTCAGCCCAGGATTTCAGATACAGCTAACTCTCTTCACAGCTCAGGCTCCACGCACGAACCTGACAGGACTCCGTTTTACAGATGTCGGTCATAGAAATAAGTAGTGACGTTAGGCTGCTCATAGATGGTGTTTTTACTGATCATGACATAATCAGTTTGGGTAATGGATTTGTGGTGATTTGAAAGAAAATGGTCCCTAAAGGGAGTGGCACTATTAGAAGGTGTGGCTTTGTTGGAGGAAGTGTGTCACTGTGGAGGTGGGCTTTGAGGTCTCGTATATGCTCAAGCCACAGCCAGTATTACAGTTTACTTCCTGTTGCCTTTGGATCAAGTTGTGGAATTCGCCAGCACCATGTCTGACTGCACATTGCCGTACGCCCAGCCACCAGCTCCCCGCCATAATGATAATGGACTAAACCTCTGAAATTGTAAGCTGCCACCCCAGCGAAATGTTTTCCTTTATAAGAGTTGTTGTGGTCATGGTGTCTCTTCACAGCAATAGAAACCCTAAGACAATATTAAAGCTTAAACCCCTCCTCTGTGGCCATGTAGTTGACAGTATTATGGGAATCACTATCATTGTAATGGAATATGAGGGGAGTTAAAGAAATAGCACCACATCCAAGACCATAGATAGAGTAACTTATACCTGTGACTGCAACTTCATTTTATTTTAAAGAAATAACCGTTGTCTAAATGACTTGTAGTGTGAAAATCACTCACCAATTAAGACGGACTCGATGGAATCACCCGTGTCTCCGTTCAGACGATGTCCGTTTTGGGAACAAGAGCTGGCAAACAAGTACTCCTGTAAGCTGGTAGGTCTGTGTCCTGAGGGACATTAGCCTTTCAGTCTGTGTGGCTTTTACATCAGTGCCTTCATATTTTGCCTGGGATGTGGTCATCACCTGGGATACCGCCTCCTTCCTCTCAGATCTGTGAGGACCAACATTCCTCCTGGGCCTGAAAATTGAGGTCTGCCCCTCAGAGCTGGGGCAAGGCTCCTTTGGACTGATGCCATTCACGTCTAAAGTGAGGGCTTTCCCCATGAAAGAAGGGAGGCCAGAAAAAGGAGGCAGAGAATTGGATTCTCTAGAAACTGGAGCTAGGAAATAATGCAGGGTGCTGCTAGTGTTTGGGAAGAGAGGCGTCAAACATTGGTGGCCTTTGGAGAAACGGTTCAGTCAGCTAAGAGTCTGCTGCACAAGTGTGAGGATCTGAGTTCAGATCCCAGCGGCCTTGAAGAGCTGGCACAGAGGCTCAATTCTGTAATCCCAGTGCTGGGGGGGGGGGGGGGGGCGGGGGAGGGGGTTGGCTGCAGACAGGAGGATCGCTGGGGCTACTCTAGCCAACCAGTGGCCCAGGGACAGTGATTCCCTGTGTCAGGTAATGAGGCAAAAGTGACGGACAGGGACACCCAATGCCCTCCTTGAGCCTATGTAAACGTGCACAGGTACACACACACACACACACACACCACACACTCACACACACCACCAACACCAACAAAAGAAACTTCAGAAACAGGGAGTCAGTGAGATGGCTCAGCAGAGGCGGCACTTGCCACCAAGCCTGAGGAACTGGGTTCAATTCCTAGAACTCACACAGTGGAAGGAGAGAGCCAACTCCTCTGACCTCACACCTGCGCCGTGGCATGCATGTTCCCATATACACCCACACACATGAATATGACCTCACACCTGTGCCGTGGCATGCATGTTCCCATATACACCCACACACACAAATATGACCTCACACCTGTGCCGTGGCATGCATGTTCCCATATACACCCACACACACAAATATGACCTCACACCTGTGCCGTGGCATGCAAGTTCCCACATGCATGAATAAGTAAATATAAAAATTCTTTAAAAAATGTTAAAGTGGACCATTACAGATGAAGACATTGGATGTCATCCTCTGGCCTTCACACACTCATGTGCACATACACAGAAAACACACTACACACCTCCAAAAGTAGTAGGGCCAACCCTGGCGATGTATGAGTTGCCACACCGAAACGGAAGCTCCATGAGCAGTCAGTCAGTAAGTTGTGTTGACTCCATACAAGAGTGGCCTCAGAGAGCAGAGTCCACAGGGTCTCTCAGGACAGTTGCTCGTGAAGTGGTCTCACAGAAGAGCTGACGTTCACCGCTTCCCTAGGTGGTCTTTCTCGCTGACGAGTACTGCAACTACTGTCGAGACGTTTTACAGAGTGTGAAGAACCAAGAGCTGGAGAAGGTAGGCCTGTATCTATAAAGTACAAGCACTGACGATCGGCTGTCAATCACTTAACTCGATCAGACCCCTCCAGGGATACCCAGAGCTGGCCCACTGCCTCAAACGGCTCATCGCGTGACTGTCTGGTCATTGGCGAGGTCTGGAAAGCGGTCTAGTCTCAGCACAGTCGCTGGGAAATTCTTCAAGGTTCTGATGTGGGTATCACGATGCTTGAAGAACAGTTTCAACACAGCCTGAGTAAAGCATGGGTAGCAATAGCCGCCTTGTTTTCCAGTAATGCTGAAGCCATTTTATCAACATAGGCCGTGGAAAAAGAAACAGGACTTCAAGGGTTGGGGATTTAGCTCAGGGGTAGAGCGATTGCCTAGCAAGTGTGAGGCCCTGGGTTCGGTCTTCAGCTCCAAAAAAAAAAAAAAGAAAAAGGAAACAGGATTTTGAGGAAAGTGATCTGGCATGAGTATTGAAGATTTTATTCTAGAACTGTCTGTGTGGCATTGGTGAAACATCCCCTACCTATAGTATGAAGCTCTGGGGTCTCCCCATTATAGAAGGAGGGTTTAGAACTGGCTGTGGAAAACACAATTATTATTATTATTATTATTATTATTATTATTATTATTGGTTTTTTGAGACAAGGTTTCTCTGTGTAGTTTTTAATCTTGCTCTGTAGACCAGGCTGGCCTTGAACTCACAGAGATCCCCCTGGCTCTGCCTCCCAAGTGCTGGGATTAAAGGTGTGCACCACCACTGCCTGGCTCACACACACACCAAAAAAAAAATAAATAATAATTTTTAAATTCAGTTTTCTATGTGTGAGCATGACGTGTGTGTGAGGCAGAAGACAACTTCCAGGAGTCAGCTCTGCCCTTCCACCGTGTGGCCCAGGGGCGGAACTCAGGAAATCGGGCTTGGCATCGAACACTGAGCCATTTTGCCTGCCTGGATTTTACTTTTCTAAGTATGAGATTAAAAGCCCAGGGAAACAAGGGCGCACCCGAATGAAAGTTTCCCTGATGCTTTTGGGATCTATAAGCCCTTCAGCTCTGAGCAACAAGCCACTCAGCATGCACACACGTGCTACGCGGAGCCAGGGTGTGAAGCGTTACAGCGCGGGAGAGGACCAGCACACCCTTGTTCTGTCTGCAGCCTCTCGAAGCTTCCCTCGCTCACTCGCTCAGCAGATATTTGCGTAAATCATGTCCTGTGACTGGCTCCATTTCTGGGACGAGCAAGGCATTTTCCCCAAAGCTTGAGAAACGTATCATTTGGTAATGAAAGGAATAATGTTGCCCAATAAGTCTGATGAGTCCCAGAGCTGTTCATTAGTCACCTTTTCCTGTTAGTCAGTTACTGTGAGCTGCGGCAAAATACCTGAGATAAGAAACTTAAAATGAAGGGGCATTTCTTTGCACTTACAGTTTGGGAAATTTCGGGCCGTGTTTGATTGGCCTCCTCATTTTGTGTCTGTGAGGAGGCAGATTATGAAGGCAGGGAGTGTGGGCAGAACAAAGTGTTCCTCCTGGGTGAAACCCTAGGAGAAAGAGGAAGAGAGGAAGTCTCACAATCCCCTTAAAGGCCACGCCCCCAGGGGCTGGGATACGGCCTACTAGGCCTAACTCTTAAATGTGCCACCACCTTCTAATAGCATTACCAGCCAAGGACCAAGTCTTTAGCCTATAGGCCATTGGGAGATATTTCACATTCAAACTCTAACAGTTATTGTAACAAAATACCTGGGAAGAGCTTCTTTACAAAGGAAAAAAAGTTTACTTTGGATCACAGTTTTAAAGGTTCAAGATCTTAAGGACTTCATCTGGTGATAGCTTTCTTGTTGGCAACCCAGAGCAACACAGCAGATTGTGTGTGTGTGTGTGTGTGTGTGTGAACATACCTGTCTGCCTGTAATTCTCCACTTCTTATATAGCCATGAGCATCCAGTCATCAGGCCTTTACCCTGATGGCCTTCTATAGTCCAGGTCAGTCCCCTGAAGTCCCTGCCTTCATTCTCCACAATGAGTATTAACTCCCGCCCCCACCCCCACCCCCACCCCGCATAAGTTCAGAGGAGGACAAACCGTAGCAGTCTGCATAGTTAGAATGTTCTGGGTACCCAGAGAGGAAGAGCAGACACTGAAAGGACCCCCAAAGCAGGTGGCCACGCTTCTGCCAATGCTGGTAGGAAAGGCAGAGGCCGAGCAGCAGTCAGAGCCCGAACAGAAGCGGTTCCAGGTGGAGCCTACATTGTGGTCAGAGGCAGCAAGATGTCCCCCAGCGTGAGATGATGATGAAACAGTCCATACCTAAAGGAGATGATGGTGGAGGCTGGACTAGCAAAGTCTCTGCCTACCTCCCCCAAAGCTCCAACAGTGGGAAAATAGGGAAGGCCACCACTGTGGATGTGTCTGGATAGAAGTTTCATCAAAGTCAAGGTGAGAAGCGATGGGGTTCAGTCTTGGTTAGAAACATATCAAAGAGAGAGGGACACATTGGAGAAACACTTGTGAATGTTACTCACTAGTGAGCAGGAGCAGGGAACTTGGAGCATGGGTCCCCAACCAAGCTATAACTTGATGGAGACTCCCAGCGTAGCATTTCCTTGACTCTCTTTGGAGAAGTCTCCTGTCAACAGGATCCTAAGTCAAGGTCCTCACTGTGGCTCTCATTCCCTCAACAGCCTGAACTGGGACTTGCTTCCTGCCTGGGGTCCTTGGAGGGCTTTGTTATGCCTCAGGATATCGCTGCCCATGGAAATCCCACAGGACAAGAATCTTAGGGCCGGAGAGATGGCTCAGTGGTTAAGAGCACTCACTGCTTTCATAGAGGACCTGAGTCCAGGTCCCAGCACTAACAGTGGCTCACAACCACCTGTAACTCCTGCTCCAGGGGATCTGATACCTTCTGACTCAGCAGGCTTACCACACATATGTGCATACTAACACAGAGGTACACATGCACACACACACACACACACACACACACACACACACACACACACACAATTAATAATAAACCTTTAAAGGGAGCAGTCTTTATTAGTTGGCAACAGCCAATTTAGTTCAAAAAATGGAAATGGGCAGATAAAACAGGAAAAGGAGGAAACTGACACTTTGCCCCTCCAGTGTTGTCCACTTGCTCTCCGAGAAGGCTCCCATGACTTCACAGTCGGTGCTGAGGAGGAGGCCTGAGGTGCAATGCTGTTACTTTTCTTTTTGAGCTGGAAAATGAACAAAGTGGTCAAGTCTGTCGGTGAACTTTTATTCTCAACCCTTGATTGGGCCCATGGCCATCGTCTTATAGTCAACTGGAGCCCCCTGGTGGTCAGAAACAGCTTTGCATCTAGGAGGCACCCTCAAAGAAATAGATTTTCTAGCATGGGACCAAGGCCGGGCAGGCCTGCTTTGGTTGCTAAAAAGAGTAGATTCTGCTGGAAAGATGGCTCAGTGGTTAAGAGCATTGGCTGTTCTCCCAGAGTAGCCGGGTTCAATTCCCAGCAACCACATGGCAACTCTCAACTGTCTGTAACTACAGCTCCAGGGGATCTGATGCCCTCATACAGAAACACATGCAGGATGTCCTCATACAGAAATACATGCAGGCAAAACACCAGAGCACATGAAATATAAAGAGTAGTCTCCAGCCTGGGCTACAGAGTGAGTTCCAGGAAACGCGCAAAGCTACACAGAGAAACCCTGTCTCAAAAAAAAAAAAACAAAAAAAGAACAACAACAAAAAAAAACAAAAACAAAAACAAAAACAAAAACAAACAAACAAAAAAAAAAGAGTAGTCTCCAAACATGGCTGGTGAAGCTGATAATAAAGCTTTGTGTGCCCTGGTACAAAGTCCATTCCAGGCCTTCAGGGTCACTGACTGTATGGGGGTGAGACCCACAAGGCACAGCCTGTGGGGTCACTGACTGTATGGGGGTGAGGGCCACAAGGCAGAGCCTGGGTTTCTGATGATGTGTTTTGTCACATTAGGTGGAGGACTTAATCACATCCTTCTGGAAATCTCTGCAGCAAGACACAGTCATGCTCATGTCTCTGCCTGACGTGCGCCAGCTCTTTGGATGCTATGACATGCAGCTGTTTAAGGTGGACAGACCCTTGATTCCCCTGTACATCCCTTCTAGAAACAGATGCCGGTGGTGGAGTTAGAACAGCACCCCCAAAACACACCGTCACAGAATAGAACACCTCCAACACACACAAGCCCAGAACAGCAGCCCCCAGTACATGCACCGACCCAGAACAGCACACCCTTACACACACACACACACACACACACACACACACACACACACACACACACACACCAGTGCACCATGGACCAGGGCCTTTTGCTCTTTTGAATTTTCTCATACAAAGAAAATAAGGACCCATGATTCAGAATTTAGTCAATTTCCATCTCTGAACATATCAACCAAAGATGTTTTATTTTTATTTATTTTGCTTCTTGGCTGTTTGGTTGGAGACAGGATCCCACTATGAAATCAAAGCTGGCTCTGGACTCACAATCCTCCTGCCTCAGTCTCTGGAGTACTGGGATCATAGGTGTTCCCAGGCCAGTCTTTTAAAAAGGCATTTTTCAGGGGGAAGGCAGAGAGATGACTTAGAGGTTAAGAGCACTGGCTGCTCTTCCAAAGGACCCAGGATTGATTCCCAGCACCCACACGGCAGCTCACAACCTTCTGTCACTCTAATTCCAGGGAATCCAATGCCTCTTCTAGTCTCGTCAGGCACTGCACACATGTAGCTCACAGGTGTGCATTCAGGGAAACACTTGTACACATAAAACAAAAACAAATACATTTCAGAAAGGAAAAGATGTTTTTGAATGCAGATGGTTACTCTGGAACAGTCCCTGTGGAGCTTGCCTTGCTCTGGAGCTCTGGTCTCTGGGGCAATCCCTGGGTTTTGGAGGTCAGACAGGCATCGTTTCTGTGGTGAAATTGTCTTGCTCATCACAAATCTTACCATGTAGGTTTTCAGGGTCTAGTGCCTCTAGTTTTTCACCACAGAAGCAGAAAGAAAGGAGTGGACTCGGTCCTTAAACATGTTGATTTTGACCCTCCTGGGATTAACCAGAGTGGTGGTGGTTTTGTGGTTTGGTTTGGTTTGGTTTGGCTTTGGGTTTTTGTTTGTTTGCTTTAGTTGAATCAGGGGCTAGGGTGGGTCTCCATGGCATAGTATTTGCCTGGTATGCACAATCGATCCCCAGAATCAGAAAGGAAAAAAAAAAAGATCCAGTATCAATACTTGAAAAACCAGGTTCCGGTTCCGGCACACCAGGGTGGCAGGGTGTCCTGTATAAAAAGCAGCAGCTGGATTAGTGACCTCCCTCAACCTGCCGTGCCTGCCGGGTCCCTGGGTCGGGTGTTGGCAGCACCCGCAGCAGCAGGCCAGGTCATACTGGTGGATTCTTTCTCTGCAGGGCCTGGAGGACATTCTCCTCCCTGACTTCCTGGAGGACGTTAGTATCCAGTACCTGAAATCCGTCCGGCTGTTTAGTAAGAGATTTAAACTGTGGCTTCTCAGGGCTCTCGAAGGTTTCCCGGCCATCTTACAGATCTCCAAACTCAAAGGTAGGGTTCCACACAAAACGCAGATTCTGCAAGATAAAGAACTGAATGTTGCCACTAGGGCCGCTCCATCCAGAGGTCCATTGTACACAACAACCCTTTGCCCCTCACTGATGGAAAGGAGGCAGAGCCTGGGTGATTTTGTCATTAGCGCTTCTGATGGGTTCCCGGGCTGAACCACACACACTGCCTGGGTGTGTTCTCCTCAAGAGCTGTCAATGAATAGCTGAGTTCATTCAGGAGGAGAGGGAAAAGAGTCAGCACCTGCCCCCACCACCGCCACCCTTCCCCTTCCCATCCTTCCTTTTAATAGTTTTTCCAAAGAGATGAGCAAGTTGGGGTATTTGGAGATCTTGGTGAAAATTCTGGACTTCTCAGAATGCCTATCTTAGTTAGCTCAGATTGCGGTCATACATCATGCCCTGGGCGCTCACGGGCAGCTGAGATTCATTCCTCAGTTGCTTGTGAGGAATGGATGCTGTACAGGCTGCAAGTCCAGCATGAGGACAGTGGCAGATCTGGTCTAGTTAGGACTTGTTTTCTGTCCATAGACAGTCTGTCTGCTTTGCCCTCACGTTGGGAAAGAGATGAGGACTCTGCCTGAGTTCTCTTCTCTTAAAAGCACCAATCCCTTCGGGAAAGTTCCATGTTCATGACTAATTCGCTCACAGAGGCACCTCTTCTCAGTACCATTGCTGTGGAGTGATGCTTCACCAGGTGAATAAGGGGGACACAAACCAGCCTGTAGCAGCCCAGTCCAGATGCTAAGATTATACAAGTCTCTGCAACAATGGGCTTCTGTTGGCCATGCTGCCCCTACCAGAATTCCTGAGCCATTGGGGAAAGGGTGAGCAGGCGGGTGATAAAGTGGAGTCCAGACAGACTCAGGTGGCCCAGCTTTCCTGCTTAGCCATGGGTGCCTCCCCCACCTCCTGCACAGAGGAGCTAGAATGTGCAGTACCAATAATGGCCTTGTGTGTTGTTCTTCACAGAAGTCACTGGATTTGTCAAAAGACTCAGGAGGAAGACATACCTTTCCAACATGGCAAAGGTAAGCTGCAACGCAACATCCCTGCATGTTCCTAAGGCACATGGTGAAGCTCCACATCTTCCACGAAAGAGGGAGACCATTTCATCCCACCCATAGTCAGAGGGCAGATAGGAGAGCCTGCTGGCCATTGGCTGGGGAGGCCCTCAGGTCCCATGGTGCCTTGCGAGAAGCCCACCCTGCCCCTCACACTGAAAGACTCCAGTCACCTCTGATCTCTCTGCACAGGAGAGAAAGTAGAGCAGCATTTAACAGATATGGGAGGGATGCCCTGTGGGGGTGCCAACCTGGGCCAGCTGGTGTCAGAGGTGAGAGGTGAAAGGTGAAAGGCATCACAGCAGACCCTGTGACAGACAGATGGGCAGACAGGCAGACCTCTTCCCCTCTACATGCGGCCTCTGGGCTCTGTGTGCCTGGGGTTCCAGTCTCCTCAGCACTGAGCATTTGGCTTCTGTGGTGATTATGTAGCTGGCGTACTTGCTAGAGGATGGCGATGCAGTTCGATCCTCCTGGGTCTGTAGGTTCCTTCGCACAGGCTCAACTCACATCAGACTGAAAATGATTCAAAGGCCCTGACAGTTGTACCTGTACTGAGTGTGGACAGACATTCCTTGTCATTGTTCCCTCAACTATACCATACAACACAGCACTTGCTGTACCAGGTGTTCCAGGTCCCCTAGAGGTGGTCTAAGCTGTATGGATGACTGTATGGACCGCACACAAACAGTACGTATATAAGGGACTTGAACATCTACAAAGCTTGGCATCCATTCCATCCCACCCACAAGCAGAAGCTAGACAGGAAAGCCAGCCCGCTGGCCACCGGCTGGGGAGGCCTCCAGGTCTCATGGTGCTCACCCTGCCCCTCACACTGACAGGTTCCAGTCACCTCCGCTCTCTCTGTACGCTGGCATACACAGCATCTAGGAACCAACCCCAGCTTGATACCAAGGGACAGTGGTATAATGCCAGCCCTCTGGACGGGAGCCTGAAATCCTGCAGGCAGCAGATCTAGATAGAGCTTGGACACCAGCACTGTGCCCCAAGTCCATCTGAGCTGGAGGGGAACTTAACAACGGGTCCTCTGTGAACCAGCCCATCCGACTAGCACACAGCCCTCCCTGGGCTCGCAGGTCTGCTGCACATGCACATTCATGCGTCTGCCTGGCAGTGACGATGTAGTATGGCCTTGATTTCACCCCAGTCAGGGTGGCATGTTTGGATTCTAAAGTGAGTCCTTCTCTGAACCTTGTCTCTGCTCGTATGACTCCTTGAGGATATTTACTCAACAGCCTAATGCTGCTTCCTCCTCTGGGAAATGGAGATTGGTGTAGTTGAAGGCCGACCAACCTATACTATGAAATCATGAAATGTAAAGGTTTCTGTAGTCCCCGCCTGATAGCTCAGTAAACCAGCTCCTAAAGGTTCTATTCATGTTTGAAGGTTCCCAACAGAAAACACAGAGACAGGGCTGGGGATGCAGCTCAGGGACAGAGTGATTCCTTGGTGTGGACAAGACCCAGAATCTGTCGCCCCAAAGAAGGAAGAGGGAGAGAAGGCAGGTTCCCGAAACCCTGCAGCCATCCGCTTAGTATCAAGGACAACATTGATCAATTACCCTCCAGTTTCCTTTCTTGGGTAACTTGGGCCTGGATTGGGGTGCTGAGGAAGAGGAAGAGAGGAAGTTTGGGAGGTCTGGCTTGAGACTTGATGTTAATGGATGTTCCCATAGCCACTTTTCCTTCCCTCAACAGCAATAGGAAGCTCTGTGATGTCCAGGGGGATTCGTCACAGTAGCAGGATGCGAATTAACTGTTCTTTCCCCTCTGTATCCTTAGACGATGAAGATGGTCCTGAAGAACAGCAGGAGAGTGGGCCTCTTGAAGTCAGATCTGCGTGCCATCATCAGCGAAGGCACTTTGGATATTTCGAAGAAGGTCCTGGCAGGTGACTCAGACCATGAAGAGGATCTGGAGAGCCACACAGAGATGAAATGTAACCCTCCTTCACAGCACTCTTCCTTTGGGGCGAGCATGGTCAGCACTAGGAAGGTCTCAGGACAGCGGAGTACCATTTACCTCGTTGAATGTGCTCAACGCATGTCTTCCTGTAGGGGGCGACAGACAACCCAGGAAGTCCCCCATGGCATCTGCTCCCAGGGCCTTCCTGAGTGTCAGTCAGAGAGGGTGTCAGTGCCAATGCATGTTTGGGGAGAGAGTGCAAGAGAGATGAGCCTTTCTTTGTAGATATCCTCCTCAGGGGAACGAGGCGGCGGGGTCATATCTGCATCTGTCTCGGATCCACACAAACCCCATCCTGTGTGATGGGATGGAGTTAGCTCCAGGCCTCACCAGGTTCCGCTAACCTGCCGCTAGCCTCGTAGCGTACTGTAGGGGTCCTGCTGCTCACCACGGCACTACTCCACAAACAGCCAGTACAGAGCGCCAGATTCCTCCCACTTGACATTTGATAATTGTAATCATTTCCAAGAAAGGGATTTTTTCTATAAAGAGGCCCAGTGCCTGGTGGCACACTGGTTGGTTTTTTTTTTTTTGTTTGTTTGTTTTTTGTTTTGTTTTTTTGAGGGGGAGGGTAGGGCAGGGAAAGATAGAGTGATTGGAGAACCATCCCAGAGGACCTTTCAGGAGGGGAACTGGTAGCTACCAGAAGGTGGCAAGGGATGCCAGCCTCCACTTCCAGTCAGAATGCCCCAGGGAGATCTAGTAGCTTCTCCCTCTGAAGGCATAACTCCCTGCCCCCCAACCGTGGCTGAAGTTGCCTGCAAAGATGTCAGCTGTGCTCATGGTGGGCCACCCCGAGTGCCGCTGCCACACAGCAGCGCTTCAGTTTCTGGGACCAGATGGACACATGGACTCGGCAACATAGAAACCACCTGTCAAATAATCTTTTCTTTGACCTTGAAGTAGAGGTGACCTTGCTAAGATTGTGCTAGTTATTAAGCTACCGAAATCATCCATGCTTTTGTTAATAGTCGCTTACGTCCCCTGTCCCTTAGACCCTGGCTGTCCCCAATCCAGATGCCCCTGGAATGCCCTAATTCCCTTAGCCCAGCAAGCTTCAGAGCTCTGGGCATCAATTCCCAATAATAGGAGCTTTAAAGGTCTCCCTCCAAGGGCACTGGCTTCCCCGGAAAACCCAGGTGGGCATCCATACACTGTTCTTGTTCCAAGTCCCAGCTTTTCTATAGGCCCAGTGAAGGCACTTGGACCCCAGAATCCTACAAACTTCCTCTTGGCCTGCCGAGGGCACAGGTGTGCCCGCTAGCATCCCTTTGTGTCTCTCAAAGAGGTTGCAGAGTCCAGCCAGCCCATTACTAGCTACTGTTGGTATCTGCAGGCCCGGTGTTTCTGAAATCCAGGGCCACAGCACCCTGCTGCTTACCTAAACTCTGCTTGCTGGGTAGTTGCCCCAGAAAGGAAGGGGAACTCTTCCTCCACCCATGCTACCTGGGACACGCAGACCTGAGGTCACACACAGGTGGGGGTTCCACCTGTGTGAGTACATCACCCCAGGCAAGGCGCTTACTGCCTTTGATGCCCCCATCATTTCAGTGACACTAATAAACTAGTTCATTTGTGAAACTGTCAGGGAAAGGTGAGGTCATGTCTGTACCGCGCAATGAGCTCATCCGAAGCCAGACTCTGTGTAATTGCAAGGTGGAGCTATTGTCTCAAAACCCGTCTTTCCATTGCAACAAGTGGCAGAGGTAGGACTGTGATGACCAAGAAGGTGGCCCCCCCCAAAATGACAGTTCCAGCCAGAGAGCTGATCTTTTGTGTTCAAGATGAGTATGAGGTCCTGGGAATCCCCTCTGGACTGTTCTTCTGGTCTGTCCCCTTGGTTGCTGGGACATGAGTACCTAGTTCATGCAGTCTGCTCTGTCTCCTTGCAGGCTTGGGCTGTCTAATTTCTTTGCTGGAAACCTCCACAGATCTTGCTGAACTCCTGAACTGTGTGTCTTCAAACCTCCAAGTGCTTGTCTTCCAGGTACAAAACTCTGAATTTTTACAAGAAAGGAGTGGGTGTTGATGCTTCTAGCTAAATTATAGCCTCAAGTAGCCAACACTTACCTGTATGATTCTGGCCTTGACGGCCATAGAGGTGATAAACTCGCTCAGAACTCATCCTTTGTTTCCAAAGAGAGTAGGCCTTGGGAGAATGAATCCCTTTGATGTACTGCTGTCCTGAGGGCATGAGAAAGAGGCTCTCTGATGGTCATAAGTATGTTGGGGTAGTGTGGGTGTTAGGATAGGGACATGGCCTCTCACCTCTCTGACAAGGCACAAAATGGGGAGGTGGCATGTCACATTGTGTGTGTGTGTGTGTGTGTGTGTGTGTGTGTGTGTGTGTGTGCTGTGTTTGTGTGACTGTGGGGTAGCATACGTGTATGAGTAGAAGTGTGAAATGCGAAGAAGTAAGGTACATGGTTGCACATGTGCATGTGTTTGGGGAAACGGATGTATGCTAGAATAAGGGATGTGTCTTGAGATGAATGTAGGTAGGTGTGCACATAACCATTTGAAAGAGAGAAAGAGATGGTGAGAGGTGAGCACCAAGGGGACTGTGGAGAGGGGGTGAGCACCAAGGGGACTGTGGAGAGGGGGTGAGCACCAAGGGGACTGTGGAGAGGGGGTGAGCACCAAGGGGACTGTGGAGAGGGGGTGAGCACCAAGGGGACTGTGGAGAGGGGGTGAGCACCAAGGGGACTGTTGAGAGGGGGTGAGCACCAAGGGCACTGTGGAGAGGGGGTGAGCACCAAGGGGACTGTGGAGAGGGGGTGAGCACCAAGGGGACTGTGGAGAGGGTGTGAACCCCAGCGAAAGGAGTCCCTAGAGGCACACCTGCCAGAAGAAGCAATCCACTCACATCCATTGACAATCCATCTTGTGTGTGTGTTGTGCGGGGCGGAGGGTGGTCCTGGGAGTGGAAACCTCAACTTCACACATGTTAAGCAAGTGCTGTACCACTGACCTACACACAGCTGCAGCCCACCTTCCAGTTCGTTCGTTCATCCTTCCTTCCCTCCTTCCCTTCCTTTCCCTTCCCTTTCTTCTTCTCCTCATCCTCCTTGTCCTCCTCTTCCACCTTCTTCCTTCTTTGTTATTGTTGTTGTTATTTGTTATTTTTTGAGACAGGGTCTCTTTATGGCAGAGATGAGTGTATGGGGAATCGGGAAGAGACCCGCAGGTCATAGCCAGGACCCTGGGGCCTGAGAACTGGAGAAGGGCTTCAGGCATTCCCCCACCACCACTTCTCTGTCCCTCCCCACCAGCCTTCTTGGTAGCCCTGACCAGGGTCGGCACCTCCAAAAGATGAGCCAGAAAGATGCCCAAGGAAAGAGCCTGGAAACCCTTTCCAACTGTCCTTCTCATTCTTTACTTCTTAAAAGATAATCACCCCAAGCCATGTGAGGAGGGTACACACCTATGACTAGGAAACTGAGGCAGGAGCATTGTGGATTCAAGACTAGCCTGTGCTACATAGCCAGGCTCTGTGTAAAAAAAAAAAAAAAAGTAATAATAATTGTTCCAGATTCTGTACTGAACGTGGATGGACTGGGCAGCTGAAGGCTTGTACCATGTCAATGATGCAGGCTGTCTAGGGTCTGTCCGTATTTCTGTATATTCACTCAGTCTCCATCTTTAACCAAGAAATCTTTAACGCCAGTCATGCCTCTCAGCAGCCAGACTGACTCGTTCACGTTGCGAGCCACACGACACCATGTAACACCACGTGTTGCCCGTCTCTACCACCCTCTCTGCAGCCTTCACCAATGAGGCGTGCTAAGAAAAACGGTGTTTTTGCAAGAGAATGCCTTGGAAGGACTTGTTACTATAAAATAGTTTAGCTGGTTTTAAAAAAAAAACAAACAGATGATTGTCAAGAAAACAGCCAGTGCAGAGCCTTGGGCCTGTCAAAGATGACTAATGGTTTTGGTTGTTAGCATCTGGCAGGATGCTAGCGGAGGAAAATGTCCAATTTGGTTCTCATCTTGTTCAGCTTGGACCCAAGAATACTTACTAAATGTAGAAACAAGAAGTGCCTTGGCGCAACAGCGGTGGGACAGATACTCCCTGGTGCTGATGGCCACCCAGAGCTCCCTCCCAGGTGCCTTTAGGGAGCACCCCCACCCCTGTGGCCTGAGAATGTGGCTCAGTTGGGAGAGTGCTTGCCTAGGAGAGATGAGGTCTCATCCCCAGCATCTCATAAAAGCTACACACAGTGATGCACCCCTGTAATCCCACCTTCAGTGATGCAACTCCCATAATCCGGGCCTTCAAGGTGGAGGTGGGAAGACCAGAAATTCATCATCCTGCTTGAGGCCAGGTGGGGTTACATGAGACCCTACCTCAAAAGTCAATCAATCAAGTGCTCCTGTGTTTTCGTAGTCACAATATCCTTCAACCTCACTCTCTATCACTCTCGATCACCAGTGGGAGCCCACTCAGCGGTGAGAAATGTGGTAAGGAAAATGGTAAGACTCAGAGAAACCCTTTGGCAGATGTAGGTTTTCTGTAGGGGGGGGCAGGAAGAAACACAGTAAGAAGAAAAGACATTTCACCGTCTCCAGCCAAGCTTTCCCTCTCTTCTTCAAAGGCATGTAGTTGCCAGTCATGCCTGGACCACATGGCGTGTGACTGAGACTTAGGAGGGGCTTGGGAACACTCACAGAGTAGACACATTTGAAGTTCCTAGCCTTCCATGGTTGTGGTCCACATGTGACCCAATGCCATTCCTAGTCTACACAAAGAACATTGTAGTTACATGTGGCAGCATCCTATTGACAGCCAGGTTAGTGCCAGCCACCTAGGCCATCAGATGGGCCAAGTTCTCCTGGGCACAAGGACAGGGACTCACCAACCTAGATGCTCACACCCCTAGCAGCCAGAGCTGTGTTTCCCACACAGGTACCCTCATGTTCTAGTGCTGGGGTTCTGTGCCCCTCTGTCAGTCAGACATGGATGCAGAAGAGCGAGGCCTCGGGAGCCAGCAACTCTACCAGCGGCGCTTCGCCAGGGCACTTCGGTGTGGCTGCCACGGCCCTTCTCTGTGGTACCCGCTGAAGAAAATGAATTGAGCAAAGTTGATTTGAGCAAAGAACGCTTCCTGCATTGGGCAACCCCCAAAGCCAGAGACGGTCCCCTCTGTCATCTCAGCAGTGTTTGTAGATAGAAAAAGGCTAAAGAAAGATGGAATAGGGACAGAAAGTCAATGGCCCATTAAGGTTTAGGCAGAGTTGGATCATGTCAGGGATCATGGACTGAGACCTGGGCTAGTTCCCCCTTCCTTCCTTTCTAACCTCCTCCTCTCCTCTGTCCAGCCCTCTCTCCTGATTTCTCAGGTCAGATAAAAACCTTAGTTTCCTTTTGGTGACAGAGCTTCAGCCTGAGTTAATCCATATGGACCTGTTGGGACTCAGTGCAAGACTCAGTTCAAGTCAATGTCCCCCCATAAACTTACTTAACACACTTCACAACTGACCTCGCTTTACAAATTTGTGTGGGGACTGAAAATAAAACAGGCCGATTTCCTACCTCTCCACTCCTCTCCACCTTTTCAATGGGCCCTGCCCCAGAACCATCTGCACACAAAATGAAGGAAGCTTGTTGCTAGAGTCCTAGACCTAGGCCTGACTCCAGTGGTCCTAACAAATCAGGTCCTGCCACACATCCCACAAAACAAATGGGAAAAGTAGGGCCTGGAGAGATGCTCAGTGGTTAAGAGTACTTGCTGCTCTTCCAGAGGACTCAAGTTCAGTTCCTAGCGCCCATGTGGGGCAATATATGCCTGTAACTCCAGCTCCAACGAATCCGGTGCCACCTTCCAGCCTCCACAGGCACTGCGCACACACACACACACACACACACACACACACACACACACACACACAGAGAGAGAGAGAGAGAGAGAGAGAGAGAGAGAGAGAGAGAGAGAGAGAGAGAGAGAGAGAGAGAGATGGAACCAGCCTTCTCAGCCCATTTTTGGATTACTGACATGGACTCCTAGATTATATAGGGAAAGAACAGAACTGAGTGGGGTAAGGATGTGGGGGTAAGAATGTGGGGTAAGGATGTGGGGGTAAGGATATTGGGGTAAGGATGTGGGGTAAGGATGTGGGGGTAAGGATGTGGGGTAAGGATGTGGGGGTAAGGATGTAGGGTAAGGATGTGGGGGTAAGGATGTGGGGTAAGGATGTGGGGTAAGGATGTGGGGGTAAGGATGTAGGGTAAGGATGTGGGGGTAAGGATGTGGGGTAAGGATGTGGGGGTAAGGATGTGGGGGTAAGGATGTGGGGGTAAGGATGTGGGGTAAGGATGTGGGGTAAGGATGTGAGGGTAAGGATATTGGGGTAAGGATGTGGGGGTAAGGATGTGGGCTAAGGATATTGTGGGGGTAAGGATGTGGGGTAAGGATGTGGGGGTAGGGATGTAGGGTAAGGATGTGGGGTAAGGATGTGGGAGGAGGTGGCTAAGAAGTGTGCATAATTAATCAGCCTTAATCAAGCTGTCGTTTGGTCAGGGTTAGTCAGGCAGGGCTTCGTCAGTCATAAGATGGCGGCTACTGTCTGCGGGCAGAGAGGGAGTCTTTCTTGTCACAGAGGCTAACCCACCTCACATGTTGCTTCTGGAATCGAAGGGGACTCCCTCAAATAAATGACTCAGTGCAAAAGAGACAAATGGAGGCAGAGATGTGAGGCTGCAAACCTGTTTGTGGATGGGACAGTGTGTTTACATGTGTGTACGGGCCAAAGGACAGCGTTGGTGCTGTGCCTCGGACACTGTCCACCTTTTTATTCTTGAGACAGAGTCACACACACACACACACACACACACACACACACACACACACACACCCCACCACTTCCCTGAAAACACTGTAAACAAGTTATGGCAGGGTGGTTGGGGAGGGGGTGGCAGGTGAGTACGCAGCCTGTGTGGGGAGGTCAGAGGTCAATATTTTAGGAGTTGGGTCTCCCTCTGTCTTGTGTTTGAGGCAGGGTCTCTTTTGTGTCTGCTGCTGCTGTCTGGCCCTGGACATCCCTGACAATTCCTTGAGATAGGGTCCTTCACTGGCCAAGAACTCACCCGTAGGCTAGGCTGGCCGGACTCTTTTCCCTCACATGTGTTCTGGGGACCCAACTGAGGTCCCCTTGCTTATGAGGCAAGCACTCTACCAACATCTGGCTTCTGAGCCTAACTTTAAGCCTAATTTTAGGACTCATCAGCTATCTGTAGGTCCAAGGGAAAGGTCAGGACGAACAGCAAAAGCAGCCAGTACGTCCTCCTCACAAGACTAGAAATAGGCCCTCTGCTTCCCTCTGATTTTTCTTTTATTGTTTTTAATCGAAAACAGAGTCTTCTCTCGTGTAATACATCCCGACCACAGTCCCCTCCCTCCACTCCTCCCAGCCTGCTCCCCCGCCTCCCCTCTCCCCCATCCACTCCTCTTCCATGTCCCTTCAGAAAAGAGCAGGCCTCCAAGAGACCGCAACCAAACATGACAAAAGAGAACACGGTAAGACACGGCAACAGCCCTCACACCGAGTCCGCCTCCGTTCTTACCCAGCCGTCTCTCGTCTCCCTCTTCGTCTTTCTCCTTTTTAAAATGTCTGCTCGTGACAAACATGTGCATTTGGAAACATGAGGTTTGGTGGCGGTGGTGGTTTGTTTTTTTTTTTTTTAATTTTATTGTAAATGCCAAGATTTTTTTCTCTCTCACACAAAAATAATAGCCAAGCAAAAGCAAAGAGGAGTTTGTCAGGCTGGCTGCCAGCTTCCAGCTAAGATGGAATTTCCTTCTCACCGCTGTGAGTAAAGCCATGACCTTGAGCCACAGAGACAGTTTCGGTAAGTTCAAGACCTGGAGACATGTTTAAGGTGTTGGTATGGCACTGGTGGGAATAGACTCCACGAGACCACACTTGCTTAATGTGTACAGGGCCCTGAGTTCAAACCCTAACACTGAAAAGCAAGCAAAGACATAATAAGGCTGTAGATAAATGTTTTATTAGATAAATATTAATAAATAGATAAGTGATAAGATAAATAATAAATAAGAGGAATGTTACCGTGGTATAAATTTGACTGTTGCCGTGTGGAATTTATTCATCCTTCTCTTAATATTTTAAATAATGTGCGGCATACACACAGAAAACTGTGGCTATTCATTTGCTGGTGGCGAGGCGATTGTCCGTTGAGTAAATGGACCGTGTGCCATTCTCATTCCCTCCCAGCTGGACACGGAGAAGGACTATCCCTGCTTTTGAGCCATAAACTGGGACATTATGAGAAAAGTGCTCAGAGACGGAGGGGAAACACGTTCTTTGGAGCACTGTTTTTAACTGTTAGGAAGAGCCACTGATGAAGCCACCACTGTGTGCCAGTGACAGAAGAAGGGAGTGCTACTGCAGATGTCATGGTCGATAACTGGTCTTCCTCTCCGTCGAGGCCAGCCACATCACTGATGAGGATGAAGCATACGGGAGTTGTGGGGAAGGGCTTTTTGTTTTTCAGTTTCCTGGGATGAATCAGTGAACAGGTATCTCTTTTTCCCCTCAGCCTGCAATGTCCAAGGCACTTTCATGGGCACTGGGCAGATGGCATGTGGACTTAGAGTCTCCTAGGAGATTGGTGAGGTGCACTTCCTGGTGTGCCTGTGAAGACATTTCCAGAGTAAACTACCTGAGGAAGGATGACTCACCTTAAAAGTGTGTGGTGTGTCTCCCACCACTGAGGGTTTGACTGAGCAGAGGAGAAAGGGGAGTCTGTGCATTATGGTGTGAACTGCTCCACCATGCCTTTCCTAGCATGATGGAATGACCCTTCGAAAACCGGGAGCCAAACCCTCCCTCCCTTAGGCTGCCTCTGCCAGGTGTTTAGGCCCGCTGTGGATAACTAACACAGCAGACTAAGCCACTCCTACAACCTACACAGTAGGCAGAGTCGGCCTTGCTCCACCAGCTGCCAGGTGCCCTTGCCCCACATAGACAGAGCAGGGAGAAGGCAAGCCGCTTTCCAGATCCGCTTGCAAACACCCTGTAGCTCTTTGGAAGATTGCTGCTAGAAGTAGCCATGTGGGTGACACCCATTTTTAATGAGGCACTCCCTTCTAATGAGCTCCAGACTTTATGCAAACACTCATCCCAAGCAAAGAGGTAGCGTAAGGCCAATGTGTGAGCCCAGAAGAAAGCCCAGTTCTGATCCTCTCCCCGTCTCCCCTCCCTGCCTGTCATTCAAAGTCAGAGCATTCACACCAGCGGTTTCCCCTCTTCCCGGAGACTGTAGTTTCCCCAAGTTTTGTTAGGCTGGGCATCATAGAACAAGTTTAATATAGACAAGTCAGCAACTATCCCACGGGCAGTGTCCAACCCCCAGCATCCACCAAGGATGGGTGAACACTAGACAGGGAAAATTGTGGAAGCTTTGAAATGGACAAAAACCTTACCTGATGTGGACAGAAGATCTAAGAAGATGGAGTCCATGCTTCTGGAATATTCTTTCATCATTTTACACCTCTGTCAACGGCAGTCAACTGAAACCCCTAATGATTCCCACTCACACAGGCGCACATTGCTGGTGTCCTCGTGTGAAACTGACCACTGCCCAGCGAACAGATCACATCTGCATCTGTTTGTAAAACACCTCATCACCAGTCCCCCCTGCTGCCCTGTGCTTAGTAATCCCCATTCTCCTTCCATCCATCTGCAACATCTCCCTCATCCTCTCTCTCCCTAACGACTTAAATAAATCACATCCGAGCCACAGTTTTGCCTTTGTTTAAGAAGTATCTTTAAAGATTGCATGGACCAGATCTCCCATTCTGTTTCTTGGGCAAACATCAAGGGCAGACTTCTCTCTGGGAGAGCAGAAGGGATAGCACCCATCCCTCTATGGAGTACTTTGCTCCTGTCTCACACCACATGGGTTTTAAGTTCTTTCTTAGGAAGTCAGCTCTAGCCTTCAGCCCTCTCTATCGGAGGGCTGACTTGCAGGGTTCCTTGAGTGTGGATTGTTGCTAGAATCAAAGGTCCTTTACCACCAACCACCCCAGCCATTCAGTTGATTGTCTGGCCGCGAGGAATTAAAAGCCATCTGTTTGGTGGAGATTGACTAATGCCTGTCAGTCCGCAGTCTATCACATGTACTCCTTTCTGATGTTTTTTTAAATGCAGGCGCCTGGCATCTGTTTCATTTGCTGCTTTTGGAATATGTGATTCACATTCTGGAGTCGTGCGTAGAGGAAGAAGAGGAAGAAGAGGACCTGGGGAGTCTCCAGGACTTGCTGTCAGATGACCAGTTTCTCGCCCAGCCGGACCAGGCCCTTTTCCACCCTCTGGATACTTTGCCAACGTCGGAATGCACAAGCCGGAGTGTGGAGTCACCTCAGGTGACGCTGAGACACATGAGCCAGAGCTGCAGTCCCATGGGTGTGAGCAGCATGGTTCTCCAGGTGCTGGGCTTCCTGGTGGACACTGCCACAGGCAATAAGGTAGATACACACACACACACACACACACACACACACACACACACACACACACACACACACACAGAAGGGGGGCAGGCAGGCAGACAGGCAGATAGGCAGACTGAGTTAGTAAAAATGCATAATACAGCCGGGCGGTGGTGGCGCACGCCTTTAATCCCAGCACTCGGGAGGCAGAGCCAGGCGGATCTCTGTGAGTTCGAGGCCAGCCTGAGCTACCAAGTGAGTTCCAGGACAGGCGCAAAGCTACACAGAGAAACCCTGTCTCGAAAAACCAAAAAAAAAAAAAAAAATGCATAATACTTAGGAAACTCATAAAGATCACACAGAGTGAACAGTGCTGAGGGGTTCCAGAACTCTCTTTCTTTGTGGTCGTTTTGTCAAGGGCAGTTGTGATAGCCTGTCTGCCCCTTGCTGGTCAGCACAGGCGTGACGTGTGTAGTGCAGTGACATGCCTGGTGTGAGGAGAAAGGTGGGTTTGCCTCCACAGTGCTCACACAGTGTGACTAAGCTGTGAGTGCCGTTGTCTCCCCGAGCCCCACTGTCCGTTTTCCATCTCATTGATAAAGGGATTTAGAGACAGAGATGGGAAATGGAGACTCTATTGCAGTTACAAGGAATGAGAGTGTTCTGAGCTCAGTGGTAAAGATGGGGGGCCGGAGTCTAGAGGTTTAAAACATTCTATTAAAATAGAAGTAGAAAAGATGCCGCAGGCAGCAATACAGCTCCCCGAGGCAGAGAAAGGACTGCGGCCCATAGCCTAGTCCCTCGTCGTTTTTATTAAGGGAGCAGAGGATTCCCTTCCTCCCAGGTGGTGTGGGGCTTGGGCAGAAGAACGGATTCCATCGTTCAGACCAGCCACGGAGGAAGTATTTGACTACGGTGGTTTTTGTTTTAGCCTGTGTGGCCTGGAACCCAGAGTGTGTCTGAGACAGGGGTGAATGATGTCTAACTTTACCTTTAGCTTTGCTTGCTTGTATCGGGCGTGAAGCCCCTGCCATTGGCCCGTCTTTAATGCTGCCGTTAGGTACAGGCTGGCAGACAGGCAGGTGCAGGGTTTATTCTAATTTATAATCTAGTTATGGAAGGCCAGCGCTGGAGATTTCCCATTGTGGCACTTGAAATCTACCCCTTAAAAATAGTGATGATGATGATGATGATGATGATAGTTATTATCTTGGTGTATGTATGTGTATGAATGTGTGTATATTTGCATGTTCTTATGGATGGGTACATGTGCGCAGGTGTGTGTGTGTGTGTGTGTGTGTGTGTGTGTGTGTGTGTGTGTGTGTAGGCCAGAGGTTAACTTCAGGTGACGTTTCTCAGGGCTGTCTACCTTTATTTTGAGACAGGGTATCTCCTTGAGACCTGGGTCTTGCTGATTCAGCTAGGCTGGCCGGGGTCCTCCTGTCTCCACCTCCCCATCCCTGGAATTACAAGAATGTGCCACTGATCCTTTCACAGGGGTCACCTAAGACCATCAGAAATACCAGATATTTCTATTACGATTCATAACAGTGGTCAAAGGGTCAGCCTGTTGCAATGTGTGTCCCTAAAAGAGCAGCCTTCTCCCGTGTGAGTGAATGTAATCAGAGAGCCAAGAAGTAATGAATATAGACCCAAGTCAGACACCTGATGTAGTAGAAGCTGGGCCTCCTCAGATGAGGAAGCTCTAGAACCAGTGTCCCAGGAGTATCGACAGAAAGGAGCCCCAGACCTCTGCGAAGAAGGCTATACCAGGAGAATGACTCTCCCTGGACAATGACCTTCTGGAAAAATCTATGCAGGCCCATCTGAGCCTATTCTCTAGAACCCAGTGGGACCACCAGCATTAGTGCTGGGCTGTAGTATTCAGCTTCGAGGAAGAGTGTGTGCTGCAGCATGAGACTTTGTTAAAGAAAAGATGGATCATTCAATGATATTGATTAAAAAGTGATAAGGAACACTTTGTTCAAAACCACTGTGGTGGATACAAGGACCACTGAACAGGGTCTTGCTCAACTCCGAAAACATGGAGACCATAGATAAGGATGAAGGAGCAGTCAGTGAATGGAAATCACTAAGAGGGGACATCAGAAGTCAGAAGGGTTCTGGGTAAATCAGCTTGATAGGATTGTCCCTGAAGATAGACCATGGCAACCCTATTTATTCCGGGGAATGGTGAAGGGTGAGGAACCATATAGAGAGGGTGATAGAGTATCGAGGGTGGTAGGATCTCCCCAAATTGACTAGAGATTCCTTTAAGTGCAGAGATGGTTCTAGAAGAAGTTTCAAAGTTAAGTTTGGCCAGGCAGAGAAGAATCAGGTCGAAGTTTGGCTGCTCGCTCTTAGCCAGCAAGGTGAACAGTGACCTTTCACCTCCTGAGCCACAGCTGAACAGGATGGAGAGCAGGCATGGAGCATCACTCAGCTGTATGAGAAAGATGATGTCACCAGCTGTGTGTTACATGTGAGATAACTGAGGCGTGTGAATGGAGGAGAGATTTTCCCAAGGTCACCTCACTGAGAACTGGCAGAGTGCAGGGTTTTCTCAGCATCTCTTTCTTTAGTGAGCCTTCCACTGATGGGATTAATTCTAAATTTAGTGACTTGGTAAGTGTGGGATTCATGCACATAAATTCCAGAATTTCGCCTCTTCACCTGTTACCTGAGAAACCAGAGCAAGCAACTTTATTCCATAGGGCTATAAAGTTTCAATAAGCCAACCACTGAAAAATGCTTAGAAAATTCCTTAGAACACAGTCCAACCAACCACTAGTTATTAATTGTCACTTTCCCATCAAGCTTCCTGCTCCGAGCACCCATCCTTAACACTCCACCCAATCCCATAGCTCCCCGGAAGTTCATTACAATGAGGTTTGACTTATGTTTAATTGGCGGAAACAATAGAGAAGATATTAAAAACTTAATTGAACTTGGTAATAAAGCAGTACAAGCAGATGAATGACAGATAATCCAAGGTAATATGCATTAGAGATTAATTAAAGCCTCTCTGTTTCTTCACGCCTGCTGAATTAGCTGTAATGACTTCAACAAGCTAACACCGAAAAGTTACACGCCTCTAATTTTCATCGCGTTCATTATTCGGCATGTGCGCTCATCATCGACAACAAAAAAAGCACCCTCCCCCTCCCCTGCCGCCACACGTCCCATCTGCACTCATCTGCTGAGAGTTAACGCCCCGTGCACTGCACATCTGTGACAGCATTCCTTCTCAGAACAATTTAGCACTGCCCTGCACCTAGGATAACAGCTAAGTCAGCATTCCAGACTGACACATCCATCTGCCAATCCTGTGGCAACATTCCAAAGAGTCTAAGATGCCAAGGCATGTTTAAGAGAGAAATCAAAAGTATTGATGACGTCAAATAAGGAAAATCTTTTTTTAAAGACAAATTATGTTTTTTACTTTCATGTTCTCAGATGGAAAGGAGAGAGAGAGAGAGAGAGAGAGAGAGAGAGAGAGAGAGACTGTTGTATCAATGCTGGGAACAAAGATAAAGATAGTTGTTCTGTTACGTTTATTTTCCTGTATGTGTGGTGGGGAGGGGCGGAGTTGTGCTCATGCGCAGGTCAGAGGACAGCTTGTGGGAGCTGGTTCTCTCCTCCCACCATGTGGGTCTCGGGGATCAAACTCAGAGGCTCTTTGTAGCAACTGCCTTTACCAGCTGAGCCGTCTCACTAGCCCAAAGACAGATTTTTGAGGTGCGGTGGGGGGAGGGGAGTTATTGTTGCAGCTAGAGAGAGATACTTTGGTGAGTCTTGGCATCTAACATTTATCTCATGCACATCTTTGTAAAAGTATATTCACTTATGGGGAGTTTGTTGATGAAATCAGACCAAGAAGAGACTCATTTCTACTCTTAAAGTCAAGCTCAGAGCTTTGCAAATTTTCCAAGCCCTCCAGGGCTGAGGGACTCACAGCCGGCTCCCCCCCCACCCCCCCCCCCCCCCCCCCCCCCCCCCCCGTTCCCTGTTCCCCTGGTGTAGGCAGGTCAGTGACAGAGGGTACAAGGGCTAAATTAGAGGCCGTGAACCCCTGTAATCCCTTACTTCTCAATCTAGTGTCATCTCAACCAGTGGAGGGCAACTGTTTCACAGTCTGTCTGTCACACACACACACACACACACACACACACACACACACACACACACACACACACACCCTGCGTGCGAATCTAATTGTATGTTTGCGGAATGGTGGAGGGGGGTCTTTATGGGAAATTGTCAGCTCCTGGGTGTTTCTCGAAAACTACAGACCGTCACCCCCTTCCTAAAGGCAATCCATTTGACAATGAGCCGTCTCTCTTGCCTTTTCCCCTGACGGGGTGTCCTCCCATGAAATCTCCACCAGACCTCAAGGATTCCCCTGAGAAATTAGGATCCCCCAGCAGGAGCAAAGTAAATACACACACTTTCTATGGGTCCCCGTGTGAGTGGCTTCTGCAACCAGGACCTAGTGTAACATTGTCCTTTCAAACACTTCTACCTTGCAGCTCATCCAGGTATTGCTAGAAGACAAGGCCACCGAGAGCATCTTTAAACTCAGCCTTCCTGTGGGACAAGAAGCCCTCATCACCCTAAGCAACGGACAGAGATTTGTAATTCACATATCTGATGTGCCCCAAAGCTCAGAAAATACTTACTGCAGAAAAATCAACACGAATATGCCAGGTGGTTTGTTGGAATAGGGCGTGAGGAGACAGGCTTGAATTCTTAAAATATGTATTAAATCCTAAAGTTTTGTATTGATCTGAGAGATTTTATGTATATAATAGATGAAGCACTTTATGTTTGTATGTATTTTGAGGAATTGCTTTTGATCAAACTATAAACTAATTTGGAGAATAATTCTTTTTGCCTCTTGTTTTTCCTTTGGGTCCTGTTGGACAGTTCTCTTTGGGGACAGAACAGAAGACCAATGTAAGAAATCATTAGGAATGAGGATTGGCTGTTTCCAGAGAAAGATACAGTTTGAGGACTACAAATTGGTGTTTTCTCTTTCCCTTTGTTGTGACCCAATCCCAATCAAAACAGAACTTGTAGAAAACTCCATCAGGCAAGAGGAAGCTCACTGAGTTCTCCTGGTACTCCCTGGCATGTCTAAATGCCTGGTTCATTACCCTAGTTTTCAAAACATGAGGTGTAGATGTAACCAACGGTCTTATAAAATAAGAAACACAGAGCCAATTCAGAGAAGAAAGCCAAGAGGTCAGAGCTAAGAGCCTCACCCTTCCTGATTCAGGGATCCTCTCCAGCCAAGAGAGCTCTCCGAAAAGGACCTACTTCCTGTGTGTCTGTCTTTAAAGTCTTCCTGTTCTGCCTTCTCATTGGTTGTAAACCCAAACATGTGACTGCCTCGTCACTGCCTGAATGTACCGCCCTCCAGGTCCTTAAAGGCGTGCGCCACCGCCGCCACGCACTTGCTATGACTCTAATAGCTCTGACCCCCAGACAACTTTATTTATTAACATACAATTAAAATCACATTTCAGTATAAGTAAAATACCACCACAATGAGGTAGAATTGTAAATTCAAAAATGTCTACGATAGGCGCCCATGTTCCTTTTGTGAAGCAGAATCTTAAAAGTTGTTGAAATTTTGTGTATCATTGCCATACAGATATATTTTCTGCAACTGATTATGATGTTTAAAATGAATTTTAGAATTCATGATTTGCATGGTTTCTGGAGTAAATGAAATGACTTGAGAAATTTTACTGGTCTCTTATTACATGCGAAATGATTTAAATTTCATTTAGTTCCACATATGAAGTGAATTAGATTTACCTACAAAATGAATTTAATTTTCCTATATGCGTAGTAATGTTAAGAAATAGGAACTGGGTCACACTAGAATTTTCTGTCCTTGGGGCTGGAGAGACGGCTCAGCAGGTGGACATGCTTGCTGCTGTTTTAGAGGACCCAAGTTCTATTCCCAGCACCCACGTCAGACCGCTTGCCACCATGTGAAGCTCAAGGTCTGGGGATCCAGCACCCTCTTCTGGCTTCTACATTCACTACACTCATGTGCGTATGCATATACACACAAATTAAAATTTCAAATAAAGATTGTTTAAAAACGTTCATCATAGTAGTTTTAGAAGTAATCCTATTTTAGACCCCATTGTAACGATATCATCTCTGTTCTTAAGCTCTCTGGAAGCAGAGGTTCTTAGAGGCAAATTCAGACATGGACGCTCTCCTCTGCCTGTCTCTCATTTGCTCACATGGAAACAGACCGTTGGTAGCTGAGTCATCAGGGGTGGGGGTGGGGCTACAATAAGGGCTGGTGAGTTGGCTGAGCAGGTAAAGGCACTGGCCACCAAGCCTGATGAGCTGAGTTCAATCCCTGGAACCCACATGGTGAGAGAAGAGAACTGACCCCCACAAGTTCTCTTCTGACTACCCCAACATGCACAATTAATGAATGAATGAAATGTAAAAAAAAATTAATGAAATAAAATTTAAAAATAATGATAAACAGAGAAATTGAGGCACTGGGGATGTGGCTGGTGGTACAGCACTTGTGTGCCATGTGCAAGATCCTGGGCTCTGTCTCCAGCACCGGAAATTACATGACCAGTTACTAAGATGAGTTGTCCACATGATGAGAATTGGACTGGAGGTTCCTGGAGAGTGGGACCAAAAGGCACCCAGAAGGATTCCTAGAGACAGTAGCTAGGTTTGCAAAGCCACTAGGGCCACATGCCCTGGAGTGTGGGCAGAAGTACCCTACCGCAGAGGAGTGTCATAGTTTAATTCCCAGTGCCCCTTTCTGTGGAGCCGGGCAGGAGGTTGGGGGTGCCATGCAATCATATCAACCTCGCTCCACTGGCCTCAGGCCTGCAGCTGTTCTCAGCAGGAGAGAGCAGACGGACAGCCCTGTCCTTGTTGGTCTAGTAGGATGATGCTTGGAGTCCAATTCGCCACTGGACACTAAGTGTGAAATACGGACGTAAGTGTGGGATATGGAAGTAAGTGTGGAATACCGAAGCCTATTGGTGAAATTATTAAAGCCACTCCACATAGTTAAAAGGGAGGTTTATTTTGTGGGGTAACTTACAAGTGAAGGGATAGGTAGGTTGCAGGGTCTGGGGAAGACGTAGCGCAGTCTGGCGGTGTTCTCTGGAGAACTCTGCTCGGTCTACCTCCAGTGTCCAGGGTCCGGGAAACAAGAGAGCCGGTGCATCCGGATCTCGGGTCTTCAGGGTCCTCCCTTGCCCCCCCCCCTTGTAGGCGTGACCGTTACTGAAGCCTCAATGGGGGTTGGAACTTCCAGATCAAAGCTGGAATGGCTACCCACTACATCTCCCCCTTTTGTCTAAATAAGAAGGTTCTAACTTAATACAAGACTATATACAAAGGAATGGTTATCAAATATTGTGCTGGAGTAATGAGGGATAATGACCTAGATGAGATGGAACTACAATCAATGCGAACAATATCAAGCAAGAAACACATACTAAAATCTAGAGAAGTCTAGAGCATAGGTAAATGGATGTTACAAAGATCATTTCAAAAGGTGTCCTATCCTAAAGAACCTGAATCTAATACTTAATATGTTCTATCTAAGATATTATATATATATATATATATATATATATATATATATATATATATATATATATATACTAAGTTGTAGGCGTGACCATTACCGAAGCCTCATTGGGGGTTGGAACTTCCAGGTCAAAGCTGGAATGGCTACCCACTACAGAAGCCTCCTGCTGTTTGATCACAAACGGAAGCAAGAAACCTCTCTATCTCATGTAGCTAGAGTTTTCCTGCCTGGCCCACAGTCAGGACAAATCTCTGACACCCGCCAGTCCCACAGACATTCAGACCCAACCAAATAAACACAGAGACTTATATTAGTTACAAACTGTATGGCCATGGCAGGCTTCTTGCTAACTGTTCTTACAGCTTAAATTAATCCATTTCTATTCATCTATACCTTGCCACGTGGCTTGTGGCTTACCGGTACTTTACATCTTCTTTGTCCTGATGGCGGATGGCAGTGTCTCTCTCACCCAGCTTCTTGTTCTCTCCATTCTCCTCTCTGTTAGTCCTGCCTATACTTCCTGCCTGGCCACTGACCAATCAGTGATTTATTTATTGACCAATCAGCAACACATTTGACATACAGACCATCCCACAGCACTTCCCCTTTTCTTTTCTTAAAAAGGAAGGTTTTAACCTTTACACATCTCCAAAGTCAGCTTGGTATATTTGGGAATTTGGGCGTAGCTTCTCTTACTACTTCCTGCTGGAGGGGGGCGCTGTATCTTATGGGGACATAAAGAATATTTTAGGGTTATGGAGTAGTCCATGAGGGTGTATCGTCTAAGCCAGTTGGATCATCTGGGCCATGGTGTCATCGGAGACCTTTCAGGTGGTCTTGGCTGGTCAAACCTGATGTGTCTTAATCTGGAACAAATCCATAGCCTCTGGCTTTCTGTGGAAACAAAAGCAGAGCCTCCTTTCCAAAGCAACATATCCTTACATCCAAATTTTGAAGTCAAGGTAACTTTAAAATATACATTTTGGCATAACTCAACAGCTTTTGTAATCAAATGTTTTTCTTTAGTTACGAATATCAAAAAGAACATAATCCAGATTCTCTGTGTGGTAGCCATCTTTACGTGACTTATTTTTTTATATTAGCTTGAGCCTATTGCTTTGAACTGTAGCCTTCTAAGTCTGAAACGGTGCTGGCGCTGCTGGCTCCGCCCACTTCAGCTTCCCAACATGGCGGTGATAGGTTTTCCGCCAGCTCTGGGAGCCATCAACTCTCAGAAATAGTGGGTCTATGCTTCTATCAAAGTAGTGTGCAGCCCAGAAACCTCTTTTTTTTTGTTGTTTTGTACTAGCAAAGGCTAAATCTACCACACAGCTTAATGTGCCACTTGCAGAGGCCTCATTCCCACCATACTGCAGGTCGAGCATGCACGCACACTAGGAACCCACCAGTAGCTCAAACCAGCAGGCTGCCGCTAACTTGAAAGAGACAACTAGGAACTGTTTTTAGCTCCCTTTTAGAATCTTTTTTCTCAGGTTTTAGGTGGAAACTCTTGCCCTACGTTGGGCGCCATTTGTAGCTAGAGTTTTCCTGCCTGGCCCACAGTCAGGACAAATCTCTGACACCCGCCAGTCCCACAGCAGCTCAGACCCGACCAAGTAAACACAGAGACTTATATTGGTTACAAACTGTATGGCCGTGGCAGGCTTCTTGCTAACTGTTCTTACAGCTTAAATTAATCCATTTCTATTCATCTATACCTTGCCACGTGGCTTGTGGCTTACCGGTACTTTACATCTTCCTTGTCCTGATGGCGGCTGGTAGTGTCTCCCTCACCCAGCTTCCTGTTCTCTCAATTCTCCTCTCTGTTAGTCCTGCCTATACTTCCTGCCTGGCCACTGACCAATCAGTGATTTATTCATTGACCAATCAGCAACACATTTGACATACAGACCATCCCACAGCAATCTCACTCCTCAATTTTGGGTTTTTACCCAAGGGCCAGAAATAATCTGCAGAGGAGGCTCAAAGCTTGTTTTCTGCCGTCCCCGTGCATTGCTTTGCTGCTGTGACGCCATGAACAACCCTCCAGTTCCAACGCAGCCACCGTTCACTTAGCATTCCTCAAGGTCCCTGGGTGGCTTGGGTGCTTTGGGTCTAAACCGGGCTTGGATCTCAGTTGTGGTCCCTAACAGGCTTGCTGGGGTCTAACTGGGCTGGGCTGGCCTTGGCTGGGGTGACTTGACCGTCCCCCCTGGAGAGCTTCCAGCAAGCTAGCCTGTGCATACTCTCCATCCAGAGGGAGCTCTGGGGAGAGCAGAGAAGGAAACACACAAGCATGGTACCTTTGTTTTATATCTGTGCCATTGGCCCACATGAGTTATATTGCTGAGCTCAGAGCCCAAGAGAAACATTAACAGATGTGGCATTAACAGATGTGAGCACAGGGGTCGTCCACCCTCTGGAACTGCCACAGGTCATTCCACCACACACTTTATGGACTTCAACTCACTCCAACTAATGGCTAGACAATTTCCCCAATCGTCGTTAGGACAGCCTGAACTGCCGCTCAAGGATATCAGACGAGAGGGAAGACCCTGAGTTTCTGCAGACCCTGTATCACTGCTGTGGGTTACTGAACTCATGATGCAGCAAAAATACAGGCTCCCTAGGAATGCACACTAGCAACAGTACTTTCTTGAGCAATAATTGGAAATAGGAATAATGTTGAGACCCTGCACAGACAGGAATCTCCCCCAAGGCACAGCGCCGTTTGTCAATGTGGAGCTTACAGAAAGACATATCACATCTCTCGCCAGGGTAATAATAGCTGCACCCACAGACATCTTGGAACATAAATTTTCCCTCATGATGATAAGTTAGAAACCCACTAACATTCTGGCAGCAGACAGATTTCCCGGAAAGGGATATTTGATTTAAAATTTATGGCAATATGTTCCAAAATTAAGTGTTTGTCATAGATTTATTCTTTTCCCAGGTACCATGAATAAATAAGCAAGGCCCTGGTCCAATGAAGCTTATGTACCAGGTAGGGAAAGGCAGACACTGAATCAATAAACAAAGCCGGAGAACTTACTCGGTGGTAAGTGTTAGAGTTAAAATACCACAGAGGGGGCCAGCGGCAACAAGAGGCTTCCTGAAGGACACTGGAGCAGAGCCTCCACTTGAAAACAGATGTGAGGAAGGTAAAAACAAAGGAAAGGCTGGGTTCTAGAAAGGAGGAAGAGTGG